AGACAACAGAAGAGAGAGAGTCAAGTTTAAAAGTTTAAAAATGTATTACTAAACAAATTAAACTAGACTAATTTTAAACTAAATGTATGGTGTAACTAAGGTAAATGAGACGGAGAATGGTGTAATGTGGAATGTTGCTCAGAACCAGCAAATCCGAAGAAGCGATTAGTTCTGATGGGAACTGAAGGTGATGTCTTTGCGTTAAGCTTTAGTTAGGAGATTCATAAACACATTCGACGCCATTTGTCGGTCTACATACTCTGAGCAGAAGTCCCCATCTAGTGTAGCGGCCCACTTGGAATAACCACGTAAGATGCAGAGAGCTTCGACTGGTGCAACTTTAATCCTCTCCTTCTTTCACCTCGCATTATGACACCGTGAAAACTATATGAACAGAAAATACAAATATCACAGTACTATAATATTTCCACAAATAATGCATAGAAATCATGTTTACATTTTAAACTTAACACAAACAATTTTAGTAAACAAATAATGAATTTTACATGAAAGTAGCCGTTTTTAGCCGTTATAAGTTGCAGTTCTTATTTAAATAAAATGACAGTTTCCTTCCATTTGAAATCAAATGAACAACCCGTGAAATCAAATAAACAACTCGTTTCACACTGAATACACCATCAGTCTCCCCCTACCTCCTTCTGCTTCCAAGGGCGCTAAGTTTGAGCTCAGCCCAGCCTATCTTCCATACTTCACTGCGATGTCCCTTAAACATGACATACAAACGGCACAGATATGAAGTGAACCACTGTAAAATACCCTTTCACAAGTTTCCATGTGGAATATGACAAATAAATAACATATTTGCATGTTTTACCAACTCTGGAGCAACACGAGCATGTCGTTATGATGAGCCGGGAGCAGAACGTTTAACGTTTACAACAGTAGAAGAACAAGAAGTAGTAGAAGAAGAGGTGGTGCTCTTCAAAATAAAAGCACAAAACGTAAAGTGACAGAACTGCATTGTTTACCATGAACATCATTTGCTGCCATTTACACTCCCACCAAATCCTACTACAATGAACGAACGAGTACACAAAGAGCAAGTGAATTGTATAGGATTTCTTGACTCTAATAAATGAAAACCTTAAGTTGAACTATCAGAAGTATGTAGCTGAACTGTACAACATACACAATGAAGTCGTGTGCACACAAACAGTTGTTACTGTCTGTTCTACTCAGTTCTCAAGGAGAAGCACTAATTTTTGGATTGGTCTCTCAATAACTGAAGGTTTGGAGGGGGGATCTTGTTTTCTTTGAGGTTTTCGCTCTCCTACTTGCACTTTGACTCGACGGACTAAGCCATCGCTGTCTTGAACAGTCTCCACCACTCGTCCTAGTGGCCAATGATTTCTCGGGAGGTTGTCGTCTTTAATGATGACAATATCATTGACTCTGAGGTTACGCTGAGGTAAGTGCCATTTTTGTCTTGTGGATATGTTGAGTAGATACTCCCTTTTCCAGCGACTCCAGAATTGTTCAATGAGATACTGAACTCTCCTCCATCTCTTCGTAGCGTACAAATCTTCCTTGACAAATACTCCAGGGGGAGGAAGAGCAACTTTAGATTTCATCGTGATGAGGTGATTAGGTGTTAAAGGTTCCAGCGCTTGTGGATCATTGATTCCATCGACTGTTAATGGGCGGCTGTTAACGATGGCCATGGCTTCATATAACAGTGTTCTGAGAGAGGCATCATCAAGTCGACCTGGGCACTGTGCAAAAGTGGCATTTAGCACATTTCTAATGGTTCTGATCTGCCGTTCCCAGACACCACCTGCGTGGCTGGCAGAAGGGGCGTTAAAGACAAATTCGCACTGCCTCTCAGTCAGGAAGATTTCAAGTAGTTTGGAGTCACATTGTTTAAGTGCTTCCTTAAACTCATTTCTGGCACCCATGAAGTTAGAACCTTGGTCACAATGTAGTTGTCGAACAGCTCCTCTGAGGCTGATAAAGCATCTCAATGCATTGATGAATGAGTCTGTCGACAAATCTTCGAGCATCTCGATATGGACAGCTCTAGAGTACAGACATGTGAAAATTAGGCCATATCTTTTGTATTCTTTGCGGGCTTTCTTTACAATGAATGGGCCAAAACAGTCCATGCCGCTATACGTAAAAGGTGCTGAGGCTTCAAGACGTTCTTTAGGGAGTTCAGCCATCCGCTGGTTCTCTGTTGGCCGTCGAAGTTTCCTGCAAAGCACACTGGTGCGTATCAGCTTAGCAACCAGCTTGCTCCCACGAATGATCCAGAATCCATTGTTCCGGAGCTCCATTTGTGTCTGGCTTCGACCCTGATGGTGTGTCTTAGCGTGGTAGTGGGACACAATCAGCTTAGTAACATGACTGTTGTTTGGTAGAATGACTGGGTGCTTGACTTTGTGACAGAGAGATGACTGTTTTAATCTCCCACCAACGCGGAGAAGTCCTTCAGACCAGAAGGGATCAAGACTGAAGAGAGAGCTTGAGTTTGAAAGGTCTTTTCCACCTTGAAGCATTGTTATCTCATGGGAGAAGGCTTGCTGCTGTACGATTTTAATTACTGACTCAGCAGCTCTCTCACGCTCCTCTACAGTCACATGTTCACTACATTGTGTTTGTTTAGACCTCAGTCTCTTGATTCTTGCAACTACCTTTACAAGTGTTGTCCATGATGAAAACTGACTTAGATGCCTGAGGATTGCAGTTAGTGGTTTCAGCTGCAAGCACTTGAATTGTTTTGACCTCAGGATCACCGACGAGTAAGTCTGTTGAAGTGCTGGGCATTAGATGTAATTCACACTCCCAGAGAAACTTTGGTCCTCGCAGCCAGTTCGTTGAGTGAATGTCTGAAGCACGAAGACCTCGGGATGCGTGGTCGGCCGGGTTTTCGGAGGTGTCCACATAATGCCATTGATTAGGATCACTGTTATCTCTAATCAGTTGAACACGGTTTGCAACAAATATGTGGAACCTGCGAGCATCATTGTTGATGTACCCAAGCACGACTTGCGAATCAGTCCAGAAGAATTCTTGATCAATTTTCATGTCAAGTTCACATTTTAACATGACACTGACCTTTGCCGAAATCACAGCTGCTGCGAGTTCTAGCCTCGGGATACTTGTGACCTTTGAGGGTGCGACCCTTGCTTTCGCCATCACAAGACTGCAATGGACTTCATCCTTGTCATTTTTGTACCTGAGGTAAGAACATGCACCATATCCCACACAGCTGGCATCTGAGAAATGGTGTAATTCTACTCTGACAATGCCATGAAAGTCATGTGGGTGGTAACATCTCGGAACTGAGACCTCGGTTAACTTGAGAAGACCGTTCATCCATTCCTCCCACCGTGGTTTCACATCTTCTGGGAGTGGGGCATCCCATCCGATGCCTCTGTGACAAAGCTCTTGAAGGATATGTTTTCCACTTAGGCTGAAAGGAGCAATGAATCCGAGTGGATCGTAGAGAGAGGCGATGACAGATAGACAACCACGTCGAGTTGAAGGCTGATCTTTCAAGCTGATGTTAAAGCTGAAAGTGTCGTCTTTAATTGACCATTGAATGCCAAGCGCACGTTCTGATGGGGTTGGATCAAACCCTAGAGGCTCAATCTTTGCTGCTCTTTCAGAAGGGTCCAAGCAAGAGAGCGCTGCTTCTTCATTCGAGTTGAATTTGTGAAGGCGCAAGCCTCCCTTTTTGCACAACTCTTGTGACTCAGAGATCAGTTTCTTGGCTTCATCAATTGATGGGATGCTGACTAACCCATCGTCAACATAAAAGTTTTTCTCCATGAATGTTGATGCTAGAGGATAGCTAGCTTTGTGTTGTCGTGCTAGATGCTTTAAGCCAAAATTGGCACATCCAGGGGACGAAGCAGCTCCGAAAAGATGAACCACCATCCTGTACTCCTGTGGTTCCTTCTCCAAATCTCCACCTTTCCACCAGAGGAACTTCAGATAATTCCTGTATTCAGGAGTGACAGAGAATTGATAAAACATTCTCTCAATATCACAGATGATGGCTACAGCTTCCTTCCTGAATCTGCAAAGTACTCCTACCAGAGGATTGATTAGATCAGGTCCAGTTAGTAGAGTGTCGTTTAGCGAAACACCCTGGAATTTGGCAGAACAGTCAAAAACGACTCTCAATTTATCCGGTTTTCTGGGGTGGTAGATGCCATGATGTGGAAGGTACCACTCTGTCTCTCTCTCAGATGTTGTGGGGGCAGGCTCTGCATCACCCTTGTTAATCGTTTCTTCCATGAATGTTTTGTACTGATCATAGTATTGTTTGTTGGCCTTTAATTTCTTCTTAAGGCACTGTAAGCGAACTGTGGCTATCCTCTTGTTGTTTGGTAGGTTGGGCAGACTGTTGCCTTTAAAAGGGAGAGGCATTTCATAATGCCCATCTTCCTTCTGTGTGATGTGGTTACTGAGGAACTGTATGAAATGAAAATCATCCTGGGACACATATTTGTCCTCATGAGTTCTCTCAATGAAGTCTGATTCCAGGGCCTTTAGAACATCTGTCGCTGATGGAACTGGCAGTTCTTTTACTGTTAGCCGATGCACAAAGCTTTGACCTCCTTGTCTGTCTAGGTGGGGGTTTGATGAGCCTATTATACTCCATCCTAGTTCTGATCTCTGTGCGAACGGTTGGGTTTTGTCCCCTAAGATAACTTCAAGAGGAGCCAGTGCTGCTGGACAGTCGTATCCTATTAGGAGCCCTACATCACAGTCTTGGAGGGGTGGTAACTTATCTGCCAAGTTTTGGAGATGAGGCCACAGTAATGCTGTTTCCTTTGTTGGAACGTAAGACTTGTCTACCGGGATGAAATCACGGCTGTAGGCTTGCTGTAGTTGAATGCAGCTCTTTGAATGGAATCCTCGAACTTGTAGACCACGAACAGTCTTGCTCGATATGATTGTGTCAATAGCTGTCATAGTACTAAGTTTCAGCTGTACTGGCTGGACGTTCACATTCAGTTTGTCAGGTACATCTTCTAACACAAATGTTGAGTCACTCTGCGTGTCCAGTATTGCATATGTAAGTATTTCTCTGTGTGGTTCTTGTACTGAAGACACAAAAACTGGGACGATACTTGAGGTAGCAGAAGCGTGTTGTGTTAATGTATGGGACACAACATTGTGTGTTTCCTGACTTGCACGTTCTTCTGTGGAAGTAAAGCTGTTTATTGTTGCTTCCACAGGGTTTTGCTTCCTGTCTTCGTGTAAGCAGGTTGGGTGACGACGGCTGCATATGTTGCACGTGTGTCGTCTCTTACAATCCTTGGTCATATGACCTTTTCTCAAGCATCCAAAGCAGAGTCGATTTTCATGTATGAATGCCTTTTTATCTTCAACACTCTTTGCTGTGAAAGTGGGACACTTTGTGATGCCATGAGCTTCACTTTTACAGACAGAAAAAGGTGATTTTGGTTTACTGCTGTTTGTCTCGTTTCTCCTGAGTGAAACTCTTTGGTTGTATGTTTGTGTTGAAGGCTTTGACTCTCTTTGGGATTCTATCATCTACAGGTTTGAAATTTATCAACAGTGGAGAAGTAATAGGATTACAAGCTATCCGTGCTTCTTTGCTCAAGAACTCTGTGAAGCATGCAAGATCTGGATAGTTTCCAGATGTGTCAAGTTCATCCACAACAATTCGACTCCACTTTCGGACGATCCATTCTGGCAGTTTTTTGAGCAATTTGTGGTTTTCCTCACAATCGTTAAGGATAGCTAGTCCTTTGACATATGGAGTTGCTTCAGTGCAGCTTTGGAGAAAGTCGGCGAATTCTCGTAGTGCTAGCGGGTCGTTTGTGCTGATCTTTGGCCATTTCATGAGCTTGTCACGGAAAGCTTTCTGTATGATGAATGGGTTCCCATATCTGTCTTGTAAAACTTTCCATGCTCCGTTGTATGCATTCTCTGAATCTCGATAAAAGAAACCTTCTACAGCTTTGCGCGCCTCTCCAGCAAGATAATTTTTGAGATAAAACATCTTCTCACTCGCTGGGAGTGGTTTTCTGTCAATTAGAGTCATGAAGGACATCTTCCAATCAGTAAATCTTAAAGGGTCACCACTAAAGGTGGTGGGTTCAGGGACTGGCAAGCGATTCATACTTAATGAGCTGGCGATTGCTTGAGCTAAACTGACATACTCCTGGGTCACTGTCTTTTCAGGAGCTACCTGGTGAGGTTGGAATGAAGCAGCATCTGGATTCAATGGAGGTTCAATTTGTATTCTGTGATAAGCAGAGCTAGTTTTGTTCTCAATTTCTTCATTGTGGCTCTCAAAATCTTCAAAACTGTCATATGCTCTCACACGAGCTGCTGCTATAGCGACCTCTTTTTCTGCTTGTAACAGTTGCAGTTTTGCTCTCTCTTGTTCCAACTGTTGTTGCATTTTCACCTCTCTTTGTTTCATTTCTGACAACATTTTTGCCTCTTTGTTTCCATTCACTTTCTAACTTGTGAAGATGTGCTTGTTGTGCTTGAATTTCTTCCATGGCCTTTGATTGCTCCAACTTAGCAGCAAGCTCTGCTTCTGCATCTACTCTACCGCTGTGGGTACTGGCTGAGTGTTTGCTTGATTTTTCTAATGACTCAAATGAACTTACAGTTTCAGTTTTAGTTAGACCAAAGACAGACCCATATTCATTTTTGTTTAATATTTCTCTTACTCTTTCCTTTTCAAGTTGATCATTATAATCTTCATCAATAGTCTCTAGACGGTTGCTTATGAGATCACAAATTTCCTTTGTCAGCATACCACAGGCATCCATTTTTTTGACAATCTCTGGCGTTGTGTCGCTGTTACGTAGAATAGACTCATACTGTAGTTTTACAGCACCATACTTTGCCTGAATGTCTTCGTGTAATTTGTTGAGGTCTTCTAATGAGCAAAGGGTTTTTAATTTTGTCCTTGTCTCCCTTGCTACTAGCTTCCAAGCATTATAGGCTTTTTTAAATGTTTTTTCATGTTTTTGACGTCTTGGTCATGCATCTCTTGGCCTTTCTCTGTTAGCTTTCTCTCACGTGAGCTAGACTTGAGTGGCGTGTCTGTGGGATTGTCTGTTTCCTCTGTTGGGAGTGACATCTTGTTTGTTTATGTAACTGCTTTGAGTATAGCGTGGCTTTTGATTGTCCTATGCTCAAATTCACACCTATAAGCTGTAGTTATCCTTTACCACAGAGTAATATTCATCAAGCATTTACAGATTATGGACATTCAAAAGGATTTTTAGCATAAAACAGTAACCACAAAATGTCATAAATGAGCACTCTATATTAATAGTTAAAGAGCTTCACCTTTTAAACCCTTTCATAAACAGACATGTCATGAATTATTATTCCACGTGCCATCGATCTTGAAATATTCATCAATTTCAGAGTTATTATGTGTTGGCAACCAGCTCACAAATTATTTTGACCTCAACATATTATGTTGGTGTTTAAGGCACATAAATTACGCTGCAAGCTTGGTTGAGCGTAAATAGTTCCTTTGCTCCAGTGTTGATCTTGCCTGTGATGGATGTGAGTGCGAGCAAAGTTAGGTGACTGGGAACAGGTTGGTTGGATCTCAGATGAGATGGCGTCAGCTTCTCTGCAGGGATGGCAGATCTGTTGCGGCCAAGGAGTTTCCACTGTAGCGGCCCACTTGGAATAACCACGCAAGATGCAGAGAGCTTCGACTGGTGCAACTTTAATCCTCTCCTTCTTTCACCTCGCATTATGACACCGTGAAAACTATATGAACAGAAAATACAAATATCACAGTACTATAATATTTCCACAAATAATGCATAGAAATCATGTTTACATTTTAAACTTAACACAAACAATTTTAGTAAACAAATAATGAATTTTACATGAAAGTAGCCGTTTTTAGCCGTTATAAGTTGCAGTTCTTATTTAAATAAAATGACAGTTTCCTTCCATTTGAAATCAAATGAACAACCCGTGAAATCAAATAAACAACTCGTTTCACACTGAATACACCATCAGTCTCCCCCTACCTCCTTCTGCTTCCAAGGGCGCTAAGTTTGAGCTCAGCCCAGCCTATCTTCCACACTTCACTGCGATGTCCCTTAAACATGACATACAAACGGCACAAATATGAAGCGAACCACTGTAAAATACCCTTTCACAAGTTTCCATGTGGAATATGACAAATAAATAACATATTTGCATGTTTTACCAACTCTGGAGCAACACGAGCATGTCGTTATGATGAGCCGGGAGCAGAACGTTTAACCTTTACAACAGCAGAAGAACAGGAAGTAGTAGAAGAAGAGGGGGTGCTCTTCAAAATAAAAGCACAAAACGTAAAGTGACAGAACTGCATTGTTTACCACGAACATCATTTGCTGCCATTTACATCTAGATCAGGGGGTGTAAAGGTTCAGCTTGACTTTATGGAGCCGGAGCCTGTAGAAGCAGCCACGGCAGCCGACCACCCGTCTTGAGATACTTCCAGGTCACGACAATTTGATTGGCATCTGGTGAGACCCAGACCTGGGTCGTGATGGTTCAGCTTTTATTCTGAAAGGAACCATTGCAGCGGTTGAAACAGCAGCAGATTTTATCCAGTTTGTCGTTGGTTCTTTTGGTTGAAGAGGAAAGTTACGGATTGGCCACTCCGACACTTCTCTTGAATGCTTTGAACTGCGTTAAAGATGGCGTGGGCATTGTTTTATACTTCGGATGTTTTGGTTTATGGTCGAATGAAAAGTTGACAGATTTATCAAGCACCACCAAAATCACGCCTCCGTCAGATCTGGCAGATTCTGATTGGATCAGTGAAAGCAATGTGTCATGTCTTTTAACGCTACGTGAGATCAGTCCTAGTCGAACATTTAAAGTCATATTACTCATCATATTCTATAGGATTATAATAAAGTAATTAATACTTTGGGGCGACGGTGGCACAGGAGTTAAGTGCTCGCCCCGTAATCGGAAGGTTGCTGGTTTGAGTCCCGCTCAGTCTGTCGCTGTCGTTGTGTCCTTGGGCAAGACACTTAACCCACGTTGCCTGCTGGTGGTGGTCGGAGGGACCGGTGGCGCCAGTGCTCGGCAGCCTCGCCTCTGTCAGTGCGCCCCAGGGCAGCTGTGGCTACATTGTAGCTCATCCCCACCAGTGTGTGAATGTGTGTGTGAATGGGTGAATGACTGATTGTGTTGTAAAATGCCTTGGGGGGTTCTAGGACTCTAGAAGGCGCTATATCAAATACAGGCCATTTACCATTAATATTTTGATTTCACAAATTGGTCACATCTTATTTATTGACTAACACTTTGTGTGATTAGCATATTAAAATAGAGGTCTTTGATTTATTAAAAGGAGAGTCCATTCTTCATTCTTCTGTTGAGCTGAAAAGAAGCAGTTTATAAGCAAATGCATGAGACCTTGAGGCCATATCTCATGCAGACTAGTCCTGTGTCAAAGGAGAGGGGGGAAATGACTTTTGGTGGAAAACAGTCATTTAATTCTGTTACATGTACGTTTCATAAAAAACTAAAAACGTAAAACGTGCATTTATAATCTTGTTGCATTTATCAAACTGTTGGACTTACTTCACATCTCTTGGCTCTCAAGCATTAGAGTACACAGGACAAACATATGTGCCTTACCTGGGTGTGACATTTAATAAAACTGCCTTATTCTGCCCAGCTGTGTGCATCAGGTCTGTTTCTTTTCTAGAATAATAAAAACTGGTGGAAAAACAGGTCGAAATCATAATCCGCTTTAACTTAATTATTGATTAAATGATACAAATTTAATCTGATGACAAGAGATATGCTCTAACTTGTAAACAGCCTTAACCTGTTAAAATGAAAACATAGGATAGCCTACTAATTAAGTAATACGATAACCCTAATAGAGGCAACAGATAAAATGTCAGTCAGTCAGTAATAAAATGCAGCAAGATTTATTACAAGTTCACATTTGACGTTTTTCAGGTTCTTTTATGAAAGAAACTGAAAGTAGTGTGTTGCAAAACAAGAAAGGATGTTTATTATAGCGATGAGTTCACAGTTTCTTCAAAAAAATCCTCAAGATCTGGCTGTAATCTTAAAAACGCTCAGTGCGCGAAAACTGTTTCCTCTTTCACGAAATAGCCAATCGCAGGAGAGCCCTTCCAGCCAATCAGAGGTGAGAAAGGCGGGACCTTCCTTGGACATCCTAGAATTCCAAATCACGCATCCTGAATAGGGTATGGATGACACAGAGGCTTCTGGAGAGCCCAGTTATGGGGATGGGGGGTGTTCTGTTTTGCCTTGTCCCCCAAAATGCCTTGAAACGGCCCTGGGTGTATGACTGAGTTTTGAAGGTGATCTGAATTGTATCAGATGTATAAATATGACATGTGTATAACTTATTGTTTTATAAAAATTGTAGTGGAGATAAATCTATTTACATTTTACTTTTCAAACATTTTTCTTTGTTTTCTCGTTTTTATTTAACTATTTTCCTGTCCTGTCTGTCTCTCATCTTCCTGCATCTCCTCTAAAGACTCCAGAAAAACTGCTGCCTGGATTCTTACTTTTTCACCTCATCAGTTACTTTTGAGCAGATCAAAGGGATCTCCTGACCACAAAGCGGAGTGCGCATTTCAATGCTGCATCAGTGAGGTGAAATCACCGCAGCACAGGTGATGAGCTCCGCAGTAGCAGAGCACTTCAGGCACAAACAAGACAGAAAGTAGAGAACATGAGCGGACATGAACAATCGTGTGTTAATTGTAGTTTTTTGGTTGCACCACTTTGAGAATGGACCGTGCACAGGACGCAGCTGCCTGGAGCGCACCAACGATCAGCTCTCTGCTGCTTTCTGTGCTTTCCGCTCAAAGAAGCCCCGGTATACTGAGAGTCCATAAATGATGTAATATAGGTAGAAACCTTTTTTCTGGCTCTCCCTGGATGTGTAGGATATCCAGTCCCCCCATAATTTGATCCCTGCTCCTGGATGAAAAACCGGACTTTTTCATCAATACAAGAAACCCGCCCGGACGCTCCGGACAGAGAGTGAAAAGTGGACATGTCCAGGGACAAGAGGACGTATGGTCACCCTAATTAAGACTAAACCAAAGTGTTCAGCAAAAGTAACTTGGACAATACACGTCGTAAACACTGTGATTGAAAGGAGGATTACAGCTTACGATGTATCTTGGTTAGATTACCATTTGAATTATGACAACCTTTTAAATTCATCAGCTGGTGAAGTGTACTTGGACCCAGTATGCTCGTTGTGCGACTGCAAGAAAAACACGTATAAAACATGTGTGAAAGAAGCACTGTTCGTGTTTGTGTCATGTGCCGGGGTGAGTACTCCTCTCATTTTTCCATCTTTGAGTTGTGTTGTTTCAGGAGAGGGAGGCTCCAGCTGCAGCTGATTTGCAATCAGCAGGTCTGGCTACAAAAGGAGGATGGAGAGCACTCCTCGACACCGGATGATTACTACAGCTTGGTAGTTTCCTGCCCTCTTGCGAGTCTTGGATTTTGTGCTCTAGTGTTTCTAGGATTTTTTGTGAACCTTTGGATCTTTTCCCTGTGCTTACCCGTTACCAGGTTTTGGAACATTTTTGGACTTCAGTGACTTCTCTGGATTACGTCTCTGGTTTTCTGCGACTCTTCAGGATTACTCACCTGTGCCCCATAGATTTCCAGACACAGCTCTCACCATTCTCCATTCCTCCCGGCCGGCCCGCTCTCCTGCTCACCTCTCGCTCCCTCTCCTGGACACCCCACGTGGATTCACCCCGGCACCCAACCTACTAGAGCTGAAACAACTAATCGATTTAATCGATTATAATCGATTATTAAAATAGTTAACAACTTTTTTTAGTCATCGATTAGTTGTTTAATAATCACATTTTACCGCATAAAGTCTATTTTTTACCACAATCTGACATTGGTTACAATCTGTTAAATTTGCCGCCAGTGTGTGGCAGTAATGAGCCACTGATCTACCAGTGGAGCCGTAGAAGAAGAAATGAGCCAATAAGTGCCCTCGGTTTTCATGACGTATCCCGTTACTGACGCTCATCTTGCTGTGAGAGATGGCAGATCAACAAGAAATACGGAAGAAAAATAGAAGCGACAAAACGAGAAACCCCGGACAAAAACCTCACGAGTATGGGAGCACTTCACTAGATGCCTTGAAAAGACCAGTGACCTGCAAAATATGCAAAAACCACGGCACGACGGAAGCACGACGTCCCTAAGTGAACATTTGAGACGAAAACGTGGGGGCTGATGCAGCAGAGGAATGTCCGGTAAGTAACAGAAAATAAACAAGCTAACGCAGATCACATCTGGGACTTAGTGTTAGCTGAGAGGCGCATGCAGAGAGCCCCATCAGGCGCATGCGCTGACGGCCCGATCACCGGACACACGGCGGCGTCTTGAAGCAGATGGCAGCTTGTTAATCAACTTCCACAAACAATTAAGACAGATTTTCGCCTAATTTACTCACTGACAACACAAAAAAATGAATAAATCTGGTAAATATAACACACTCAATCTGGAGGTAAGTGGAGAAAATCTGGAAAATTTGCAAACATATATTGACGAGGTTTTTGAGTTTTTTGTCATGGGACCGAAAAAAGCAGCAGCAGCTGAGGCGGAAACGCCGTTGACCAAGAGGAGCCGTCCCCGGGACTCGCCCGAGGCCTCATCTCCCCACAAGGATGTCTTAGATCTACTACAGTCCATAGATAAATGGCTTCTGGGATTTGAGGGACGACTCCACCTGCTTGAGGTGCTTCACAAGGAGTTCCAGGACCTCCGAACATCTCTGGAGTTTAGCCAGGAGCAGGTGGAACGTCTCGCGGCTGAGAACGCGTCTCTGCGGGAATCGGTTTCCTCCTTAACTGCAGGATTAGATCAGATCTCCCAGGACAATAAAGCTCTAAAGGAGACGGTTCTGGATCTCCAATCACGCAGCATGAGAGATAACCTGGTGTTCGCAGGCCTCCCAGAGCAGACCGGAGGAGAAGCGGAGGATTGTGAACAAACCATCAAGAACTTTCTCCACACTCACATGAAGGTACCGGAGGAAACGGTGAGGAACATCACCTTTCATCGGGTACATCGTCTTGGAGCCAGGAGAACAGACAGCAGAAGCCCTCGTCCCATCGTGGCTAAATTTGAGCACTTTAAGCAGAAGGATCTTGTTAAAAGCCGCGGGAGAGAGCTTAAAGGTAAAGATTACAGCGTAAACGATCAATTTCCTAAAGAAATTCTGGATCGCCGCCGAATTCTCTTCCCGCTGCGCAAGAAGTTTATCCAAGATGGGAAGCGGGCTGTGATCTCCGTGGATAAACTGTTTGTTGACGGTAAGATCTACAAAGAACGAGGAGTAACAGACTGGCTTTATTAGACAAACTCCAGGTACAACTTTATTGTTATTAAAATCACTCACTTGAACATGTCAGGATTAATAGCTGCTAGATCCGT